ATCCTTTTATGCACTTAAAATATGCAGAAAAAGAAGATGCGGCATGGTCGATTTAACGAGAAATTTGATAAAAATTAAATTTATTTTATTTTAGCGAGCGAACTAGTTTTATTAAACGTTTTATCGATCCTGTAGATTGTTTGTCCTTGTCTTTTCTTTGCAGCGCCATCTATCGTAAAATTTGTCAACTACAATTACTGCTCTACTCATCATTTTATACCTGCGTATAAAAGTCAAGCATATATAAATGTGTAAAATCATATACAATCTGTTCAGGTATAACATTTTTTTTCTAAATCTTCTAATTTCTTTTAATCATAAATCCAAAGGTATAATATTGTTTATTCATTTAGTGCGGGACGCACTTATTTTGTATATACGAGCTGTAGAATTTTTATATCAAGGAAACAAAGATCTGAAGTGGCAGCTGTACGAATCAAAATTAAGTGAATTTTTTAATTTTTCTCTGATTTGCTCGTTAAATCGACCATCCCGCACTTTCTTTTTGTACGTATTTTAATTGCATAAAAGGATTTTGCAATCTGTAAAGCCAATTCAAAGATTAATGCCGGCTATAATGTGTCGTTAATTCCCGTCACTTTAAGATCCTCTTAACTTATGACACATTTTTATTTGCAAAAAAAAGATTATGTTTATATTATAAACTCATGAAATATTAATATTCAAATTTTTAAAATTATTTGGATATCAATTGCATTTCATCTTACGAATTATTTTTTTATTTTTTAACACTATGACAAAATAGTTTCTCAAATGACAGAGTGTTAACTGACTATTGTTAACTGAATATTGATAGATGTTACTATATTTGCTCAAAAAAGCTCTTGGACCTAAAAAATCGTAATTGAGTAATAAATTATTTTATAAGATTCATTAATTGTGTAAGCTTTTTCAAAAAAATTAGAAAGAAAAGATAAAAGGTACAAGTTCATGCGTTTAGCACATAATTTGTATAGATTAACAAAAAAAATAGTTTATTAATGAAATAACAATGCCAAAAGTTAAAAGGATTAAAAGGAATCCAAACCAACAATAATAAGATTACAGATTTTTTTAGGTAGTTAGAGACTTTTTTATATATGAATTTTATATATGACAAAACAAAATCGTTTTATGCAATTTTTAATGTATTGTTGCTTTTGTACTAAAATATTTTAAAAGTTTTGATTTTGCAAATGCGGTTCGTCCTCGCCAGGCGGTGTCGTGCGAGTTCGGGTGCGTAGACGTGTCGGTTACCGGGTTTGGAAAGTAATAAAAATTAACTGATTCAGATATTGGATAAATATATATATATTTATTTAATTTGCTAATATGGATACACAGCGGTATAGATTCGCTCAGCTTGCTGTTGGTATGTGTTACAACTTGTTCGTTGTGAGTCTTACGGTGCGCGTGAAGTACGCGGGAGTACAAGGTGCGTGCGTCGGAGCGAGTGATTGGTTCGCGGCAGAACCTACTAGTCACGTAGACGTATGATTGATTGAACGATGGTTCGTCGATGGCGCTAGTAGTGTACGACGCGTTGTTTGCTGTTGCCGCGTGATAGATGCACTTTCAAATGTCAGGAGTGAGAATGCTTGCTCTTGCTTGTGAATTTTACACGAAAGACAAGTATGCTTGTCGGGAACCGAGAATGCTCCGTCCTGTGCTCGTGTGCTTGTGTGAAGGAGTGGTGAGATCGAGAATGCTCCGTCTCGGAGTTGAAAGATAGGAGAAACGAGTGACAAGTATGCTTGTCGGGGACTGAGAATGCTGCGTCCCGGTTTGCTCATATCGTTAAAAGGAAGCGTTGAGTCTAAGAATGCTTTGTCTCGGAGAAGCGAGAGCCAAGTATGCTTGACGGATTGAGAATGCTCTGTCCCGATTTCTCACTTTTGCACAGGATGATATCAGTGTCGAGTATGTTCGGCGGAGATCAGGAATGCCTGGGGATCGATCATGTAACTTTTCCCCTAGGGCGGAAACGTGAAAAGTGAAAAGTTTCACGTGAACTTACGATCATGTACGATTTTGCAGGATCATGTAACTCTCTCAAACGTGAAAATGTGAAATTTTTTACGTGAACTTTTTCGCCATGTACCTTGGTGACAGAAATCTAGGGAATTAATAAATATGCTTCGAAATTAGAGAAGATTAGGGCTGCGTTAGGATTAAGTGTATGTAGTACATATACAATTGGTTATTAAAAGATGTATATAATACTGTATCAATAAAATAATTTTCATTAGCTACAAAACCTATGAAACTATGTTTCATGATTTCACTTTCCACGCATCCAAGCTACATAATCGCTGTACGTGAAAAGTTTCATGTGAAATGTCAAGGTGTGAAAAATGAAAAGTAAAAAGTGGAAAGTGAAAAATTTCACGTAAAGTTACATGATTGACCTCCTGATCGCAGTTTTTAAATATTAGTCGAAGATGGAGACGGTTCGGAAGATCGAATCGGTCTGATTCTTTTACTGGGAATCAACCGGGTTTATATATCCGTCGAGTTTTGTTATTTTGCAGTTTGCAAAGTAACGCGGGTCGTCGGCGGTATTCTGTCACGCACGTGACGAGTTGTTGCGTGCGCAACGGTCGATGTGTTCGGTATTACGGACGCGCGTGACGGTTGGTGTGTTCGGTAGTGGGCGCGGAGCCCGGTCGTACTTATGCTAGAACGGTACATGGAAGTCATATCATTACATGTATTTAATTTTATTTTTGCATAAGAGCCTATTTAACATCTTATAATTTTTATTTCATGTAATTCATTATATTCATTTGATGTATCTACAATTGGATGTGAAGGTTGAAAAAGTATATGAATCTTTTCTGGATGTGAAGGTTGAAAAAATATATCTTTTCTACGTATATTGTTTGATAGCAATAATTCTTCAGCAATAATTCTTTCTTTGAAATTTATGACCTAGAGTAACTTTTTACGAGACTGTACCAATATCACTTCCATCGTTTACTACGTATGTGTAATACAATTTAAAAAAGATAAAAATATCACTTAGAACTTCTTTCTCGGATACATCTGAGCATAGGACAGCGCACATTCTTGTGTTATTTTTCAGTATCTATCACACAGAAGTAATTATGCTTATCAGTCAACGCCCCTAAAGGCGGCGTTGTTTCGCAGTCGACAGGACGTAAATGTAAGCTATCGATTGATCGAAAATCGCATGATTCATCATGTTACTCGCTGATAGGATAAAATTGATTGGATGATTCTGCGAGCTTCTCGCAAAGCTCTCGTTACCAAAATTTTCAGTCAGTCGATCATGATCTTTGTTCATAGAAAGTAAATCGTGCTTTTGTCGTCATATCTATTGTTCTTGCCGTTAGATCTATCATTCTTGTCGGACTCTGTAGTAAGGCTCGTGTCATAATTTATGCTTGTCAATCTCACTCGTCCCGTGATAATATTTCATTTTAATCGTTGTTGCGAGAGACTTTACGGCGAAGCATTCCGAATCGTGGTGAATTTCGGGTACATGCCCGCGTTCAAGCCCTGAATCCTACTCGATTTAAAGTAACATGTGACGTTCTCTATTGTCACATAGTGATTCAAGTATTTTCGAACTCGACAAGAATATTTGCGAACGTTCTTAAAAGAGCGAATTCTCGGTTACAAGTGCGCGTATCTCAGATTGACGAAGCGATATGTAATCATTCGTAAAGTTCAATCAATGTGTAAGAGCTTGCGAACATTCTCTCAACACTTTGCGGACATCCTCTCATTACGTGATCGCTTAATTCGTACGAACCGCATAAATGAATGCAAGCTGACTGGCTGACTGGTGGACTATTCTACCTTCTCTTAGGTGTACGCAAACATCGAACTCTATATTTTGTACATCTCAAACCTTTGACTCATTAAAGTGTGATCTGTCTCTAAATTTCGTGATTCTATCACCCATCGGATCCTCAATAGAGGGTCATTCCCGTGAACAATCAATTCCGCATAGGAGTTGATATTGATATATTTGTATGGACAAAATTTATTCTCCTACGGATGTAATAGATACAATGATTAACAAGAAATTTGTTAATTTTATTTGTCAATTCATTAATTAGCCAAAAATTTCGAAAGTTATCCTTGAATTCAATGTTAATTAGTCAACAATTTTGAATATTCTTATCTTTTACTGCCAATAATTTACAAATATATACAAATGTTGACAAGTAGTTATGTACGATTTAACTAATTATTATCGAATATAAAACATTCTTATATTTTATTGTATTTGTTTCAGAATATTTGCAAACCGATTCCGTTGCAACCATTAAAAGTGACATCTACTATTATTCTTATTGGATATATTCCTGAAAACGCATCAAGGTATTATTTTATATTTATTTTAAAATCATATCAAGATGATATCATATTTATGTTGCAATTTCTTATTTTCGCGATTCTCGAAATTTATTAATAATGTCAAAATAGTATTCATTAAATTGATTCGTCAGCAAAGAATTGTGTTTTCGAAAAAATCGGAGTAGATGAATCATTACAAATTAATGTATTAACCGAACAAAATTATCTTCTAGAAAAAAGTAAAAATGACATCAATTTGTTTTTAATTTTTATAAAAAATATTTTATAAAGAAATTTTCACGTACTAAAAATCAACTTTAAACACAAATTTTTGTATCAGAGAATCAATTTTTAATTGGTAAAAGATATAATGTGGCGCTAACTTCTAATTTTAAATTGTTTAAATGTTTGTTAAATGTGTACGTAATTTAATTTATATTTGTTATTATTGTATACCCCTAATATGGATCGAATGCAGCGCCTTTATGCCCAGATTTTGTAACAAGAATATCGTTAATAATCTATCTCAAAATAAAGTGCACGACAACGCACACGTTGGCAATGTCTTTTCTTTTTACAATACATTAAGAAATGTAAATCAAACAACTATATTTTTTAATATAAATTAAAGAAAAGACTTTACAAAAATGAAAAAATTTTATTCATCAAAAATTAACGTAAATTTGTAATTGTCAATAAAATTTAGTAAAATGTATATCTATAAACTGTATAAAAAATTTGATAATATGATAATTTGATTGATGAATAATTAACAACTAACTTCTAGTTATCAATAAAATCTGATGGAAATATTGTACGAGTACTTTTAATGTATTATAAAAATCTTTCTGATGTGTTATATAACGATAATAAATTATTACTTTTTACACCTTTTCTAAGTTGTCAAATATTTAATTTTCAAAACAGTTGCATGATACATAAACAGTACTGCACTATATACAGGGTGTCTCCCAAAAAATGACCAAGCGGCCATATGCAAGTAGAGCAGACTAAACTGAATCAAAAAGTACTATTCTTGTACTATTTCGCAATAGTTAACGAGTTATTAATTTATGAATATAGTCAAATTACAAGCGCGCGGTGAGATAGGAACACCCAGTAAGGCGCGCGTTCACCGTCGCTAGGCACGTGTGGAATTGTTGATTACAAGCGGCCATCGCTACGCTTTTATCTATGTACGTATGTATATGTGCATGCGTAAATTTATGAATAACAAGCGGTGATGCAGTATAGCGCATCAAAAAGTGATTTTTTTCCGTAGCAAGAAAATGACAGGCTATCATTTCCACATCACCTTGCGGTGATGTAAATAGCATGGTGCATTTTTTTTATAGTGGTATCCCCAATAAATCTAATCCACTCTCATTTTTTAATGCAAAAACTGTTCGATGTGTCCTCTTTCTTCTTGTATACAAAGTTCGGCCCTTCGAACGATATTGTATGTTGCATGGTACGCTATTTTTAATGGCAGCAAAAGCTGCGATAATTATTTGTCGTACTTCAACTTCCATATTGTTACGGCTATGCTCCACTTTATTTTTTATGTAGTCCCATAAAAAGAAATTTAAAATATTTAAATCTGGTGACCGTGGCGGCCAAGTGATAGGACCATCTCGCCTTATTCACCTATCCTGATAATGCGCATTTAACAAATCGCAAATATTTTTTCGAAAATGTGGAGAAGCTCCATCATGCTGAAAAATCAGCTATGCTCGCGTATGAAAGGGTATATTTTCGAGCACAGGTAGCCGATTTTCTAAAAAATCATAATTTTTACCATTTAAATGCAGCGGGAGAAAATATTGTTGTAGCCAGATCTACAACCAATAATAAAATAATAACCAATAATAAAAGTAGTCCGCATGGCAACAAAATTAGGTCGCATGAATCTCCAAAAGTCTTTCGAAAGATGACACAAATGTGTGACCGCCGAAATTGCGACCAGTCTTTCGAAAGACCGCAGAAATGCATCACGCGAGAACATTGCGAAAAAGTCTATCAGCAAATTCCTAAATTTGATGATCAAACCGTAATATTGATTAATCAATGATATTGATTAATCAATCACGCAACCGATCGACGCAATCGATCAGAATGCTGATCGGACATCAATCAGACTATATAACCGGTTACACAAGGCGGAATCGAGAGAGTCAAGAGTCAAAAGTCAAAAGTAAAGAATAACGTGTCGTTCGGAATCGTTATTATAATTATCGCACAAGATATTACAAAAGAGCGGCGAAGTTCACGCGAGCCGTACTATCAGCGTCTCAGGTGACATATTCGGTCGACAGCCGCCAGAGTAACGCGATATGAGCTGCCCGCCGACGTTTTAACCGTGTGTGAAAGAAATAAAATAAGCAATACTAAATTCAAGAATTTGTGCATTTATTAATAACCAATTAAAATAAAGAAGGTGTGTTAATGAATTCAAGAAGATTTCCTTCTATTCTTTTGATCCTGCTCGGAGTTCCAACTCCTTAGGCTTAACGAATCCGACTATCTCTAATATTATCGTTGTAGCCCATCCGGGGTACAACAATATGGACCGATCTGAAAATCGTTGACGCAAATATTTACATTTAGTATTGTGAAAAAAAATTACATAAAAAAATTTTACAATCAACACCCAGCACTTGGTTCGCGATCATTCCTGCCCACACATTGATAGACCATTTATATTGGAATGCGCCTGCACAAACGATATGAGGATTTTCCTCATCCCAATACAAAAATTACGTGCATTAAAAACACATTTGGTGTAAATGTAGCTTCGTTAGTCCATAAAATAAAGTCGGGAAAAGATACATTTTGCACAAGAAAGCCTATGCATATTTTATATTTTATTGACGGTAATTATATCCTAAAAATATCGCAAAAATAAAAAGTCAATTATGGCAATACCTTCACAAAAATAGACCCATTGTTGTGCATCTCTTGCAGTAGTTATTAAAATAAATTTTCTATTATAAGTCAAAAGTAAATAGTAATTTTTTACGTTAAGTGTATTAATAATAAATATTAAATAATTTAATTGCTCTATAAATGTATGTACTGAGTTTCAGTAAAATCGGCGAATTACAGCTCATATAGCTCCGAATTGTATGTTAGTTTTGGTTTTGGACAAAATCTTGTTCATATTTGTAAAATATTTTAATTTTTATGTAATGACAAATAATTTTCTATTTGACTAACAAAATTTTTTATATCTTTATATTAAATAAACTTTAATGTCACTTTTGTAGATCCATAGATTAAATAAAAATAGAAAAAAAAGATAGATAGATAAAAAAGAATAAAAATAAAAATTTTCAAAATGACAGACGAAAAATTTAAAATTATATACAAAATTGCGTTATTTATAATTCTTTATGTCTATAGACTGTTAAAATAAGATTTGAAAATATTTTTGGAATTTCAAAGTTATACCTGTACCAAAATGTTCGTTTTAAATAAACATATATGAATAATTATAATCGTATAATTAAAAATAAACATTTTCAAAATGACGGCAGAAAAAAATTTTAAATTAAAGTACAAAGTTACGTTATTTACAATCCTCTAGGTCTATAGATCAAGGAAATACGAAAACGAAAAATGATGTTGAAAATATTTTTGGAATTTCAGAGTCACACCTATGCCAAAATTACAGTTTTAAATGAATATATATAAATGCTGAATTTGAAGTCCGATTAAAAATAAAAATTTTCAAAATGGCAGAAAAATTTTAAAAATTAAAAATACAAAGTTGCGTTATTTACAATCCTCTAGGTCTATGGACCATAAAAATAAGAAAATGGAAAATGATCTTGAAAATATTTTTGGAAATTTTAAGGTCACACGTATGCCAAAATTTAATTTTAAATGAACATATATAAATGCTGAATTTAAAGTCCGTAAGATTAAAAATAAAAATTCTCAAAAATGGCGAACAAAGAAATTTTTTTAATAAAATACAAAAATTGCATTATTTACGATCCTCTAGATCTATAGATCATGAAAATAGAAAATGAAAATGACCTTGAAAATATTTTTTGGATTTTTGAGGTCACACCTATACTAAAATCTTAGTTTTAAATGAATACATATAAATACTAAATATGAAGTCTGTACGATTTAAAATAAAAATTTTAAAAATGACGGCAGAAAAATTTTAAAGAAAGAGTTGCGGAAGAAGTGCAAAGATATGCAGAAAGATTATGGAAGAGTTACGGAAGAGGTGCAAAGATATGCAGAAAGATTGTAGAGTTTCGGAATGATTGCGGAAAGATTGCGGAAGTGTTGTGGAAGAGGTGCAAAGATATGTGGAAAGATTGTGGAATAATTGCGGAATGGTTGCGGAAGAATGCGAAAGAGGTACAAAGTTGCGCGAAAAGATTGTGAAAGAATTGCAGAATGGTTATGGAAATGTTGCGAAAGTGTTGCGAAAAAAGTGCAAAGATATGCGAAAAGATTATAAAAGAGTTGCGGAGTTGTTCCGGAATGGTTGCGGAAAGATTGCGGAAAACTTGCGGAAGAAGTGCAAAGATACGCGGGAAGATTGCGGAAGAGTTGTGGAAAAATTATGAGAGACTTGTGAAATGGTTACGGAGATGTACGGAAAGATTGCGAAAGAGTTACGGAATGCAGAGTATTCGCGGAAATATGCGGAATGGTTACGGAAGAGTTGCGGAATGGTTGCGGAAGTGTTTCAGATTGGTTGTGGAATGGTTGTGGAATCGTTGCGGAGATATACGGAAATTGTGAGAAAGTTGCGGAATCGTTGCAGGTATATGCGGAAAGATTGCGGAAATATTTGAAAAAATTACGAGATAGTTGCGAAATGATTGCGGAAGTATGCGGAAAAGTTGCGGAATGGATGCAGAGATATCCGGAGAAGTTGCGGGAAGAGAGAAAATATGCAGAAAGACTGCGGAATGATTATGAAATTATATAACATTCATATTTCGCGCTGAGGACTTCATCGCCGCTGCCGCGTAGTGACGAAAATTAAACCATAGCCT